GGTTAAATGATATTAATATTTGAAAATCGGGTAACTTATAAAGAACGGCAAATTCTACAACAAAGCAGGGCAGACTTATTTTTTATCTTTGTCATCATCATTTTTATACAGTGACTGGATGGGAAACCACAATCGTCTTTGCCAATTAGTGTGGCCCCAATAGTACTGGAACAATTTACAAACTACAATGATTACAATTACACACAAAAAATATAGACAATAGTCATTACAGACATTTTATGGAAACAACGCGCGAAAGAGGGCTCGTCACAAATGGAATTGCATTTGATGCACACAGTCTTTCATATATACTACGATCCTCAACGCAATTACTTTCTACAGTCCCACCACCACCAAGCCATTTCCTTCCTCCGATACGCCTATGCACTACCAGTGTAAACAGCAAAGAAATCTTTCAGATACTTCAGGGTGGCTCAGAACGATTCAATGAAGCGTTTGACATTTCCATGAATAGAACACAAATGTCTAGTATTTTTATCAAGACACAGTTCAGTTGAAACGTGCAATCATCCCAGGAGTACATTTTCAACGTCCTCATTCTTGCAACTTTGTGAGGTAAGATAACTTTTAAATGTTTTTTTATTACTGAAATAAAGTAAACAAGATGTATCAGAAACGAAGAACGAAACTATATATAAATTTATTGGAAATGAGAACTTTTATATTTATATTCCTTTCAAGTATAGATTACAAAAACATATTTAGAATTCACTTTGTAGAACAGAACAAGACAACTGAATGAGCTTGCATTAAAAACGACTAACCACAATGTTTTCAACCGATGTACATATTTTATTTGACTTGACAACATTCCGGTTTTCGCACGGCCGAATTGTTAGGACATTCTGTTTCCATTACTAAATATTTAGGCGACTTGATGACGTTAAAATCGTGGTAATAACTGTAATGGTCGGTGAATAATTTTGTAGGAGTCGTCTTATGAAAATGGACGTACAAATACCGATTTTCTAGCTCAGTCGGTCTTCAATCCACAAGCGGTTTATATGACCTTAATTCAGATTCCTCATTTGGCAGTATCTCGAACGTTTTGCGCCAGATGTGGTATAGCGACAATAACCGACAGCGACGATGTGAGAGAAACTCAACTATACATGAAATATAATTAAGATGAAATGTACTAAATGTACTACTGTACTTCCCTTTGGGCGAAAATAGAATCCACGATTACTGGACTGGTTTAATTAGAACCCTTCAATAACGAGTCAAATATTTCGTGCGAAGTTTTATTCCATGGAACAAAAATTACGAAATTGAAGGTTAGAAACAAGAAAACAAGAAGATGTAGAAACAAGAAAACTGAGGCCTAAAGACAACCAGACAAACTCCTTCGCGGATGAATTTGGTCTTAATTGATTTTTTTTCAACAAGGAGTTATTCAGTGTCTTTAATTAAGCCGGTTTTCCACCAGACTAGCGAAATTTTTCGCGCGAAGCGACCTTTTTCCTTTGTCGGCATCACTTTTTACGCCAGCAAGACGTGGGAAAATGGATGCCGACAAAGGAAAAAGGTCGCTTCGCGAGAAAAAATTCGCTTGTGGAAAATCGGTTTTAGTCGCTCGTGTGATACCTAAGAGAACACTATTTTCGATTTAGTCAGGCCGACCTGATTGTTTCCGGCACAGCGGGAGCGAAATGCATTGCTGGGTATAAGCCGTTAAATAAGCTATATATGGTGCTTAAATTGACGTCATATTTTTGGTGTAATAGATATTCAGAATAGGGAGTCGACAGAATGGACGCTCATTTAGACTGGTGGCAGAAACATGTTATAAGAGCGCGTTATATGAACTTCTCGTCCTGGTTAATTTAATCTCGTTTTCATGAATTAATAATTGTCAAACGTGAAACAAAGTGTGAAAGGAGTGCGAAAGGGATAGCACGAATTTTGTGGAAGACGAGCCAGGCGTTATTCCATAAATTTAATCGTTTTCTTGCTTATGTTTGGGACTAGTTGGGCAAGTGTGATAAACACTTCAATATTAAAATTGTATACCGTACTTGCTTCAGTTGTGTTTTCGATTTCATTCATATCTGCGATATTTTTACGGCCATTCGTAACTCAATAAATAATATGCTTTTAAGCTGGTATTTGTACATGAAATTGTGGCAATTAAGACAGCGTATCGTGTTTTTATATGTTTATAATGGTCTTTGGCCTACAGCCGCAAATGTGGCTTGACCAAAGTATAACTCAAAAAGTAGCTCTGCCTACGAAGCAAATATATTTTACATTATTTTCGAGCAAACCACTGTCGGCAAAACAAGTTTTTCACTTTCCCCTGCAGTTTCATCGCAAAGTTTCGAAGCGTTTTATCGCTCTACTCTACATTGGTCATTAATTAAATTTTAGCCTGTTGAAAGCCACATAGGTTAAAACTTCCTTCTAGATTATGGAAATCAATGCTTCTTTAGTTAAAAAATTATCTCGTATTGTTTTCTCACGTTATTTTCACGTTACCATGAGTGCGACTACTATTATTTTCAACAAGGAAAACTTCGTTTGGAATTCCTATACTTCAAACAGGTGGGAAATTTATCTACGCCTGCGCTACAATTTGCGCGGTTTAAGAGAAAGGGACTTGGGGCGAGTAAATATCGTAATTTGATTTTTGAGCGTTTTATTTGCGTTTTAATCTCGTTTTTTTCGCTAACCAAAAAATTGTTAATCTATGGCATTGTTGGGAAGGCAAGGAAGGTATGAGAATGTTCAGAGGCTAAAAAAGGTATAAAATTGCAACTTTTGCGTAACCTTATGCATCGGAACTGCCTCGGATTCGGATGGAAATGTGCAATAATTCTTACTATTCCGTATTTTTAGATAAATGAATTATCTATCGATATAAAGTATATGTTTTAAGGAGCAATTTAAACCATATTTGGTTTTGAGGCTCTCGGCTAGATTTTAAAAAATTTAATTTTTTTGCCAATCTTCACCCCCCATAAATCACCCTTTATTAATTTAAATAGGACAGAGATGGAAACGTATTCGCATGATTTCAAAACTGCTCATATTTTCTGAATCAATAGACTCTAATCTTTCAACGAATACGCTTTTACGAACAGGATTAGCAAACACATGCAATTTCTAGCGGAATATTCAGAGGCACCTATTCAGACTATTACAGACTGCATTAGACGGTTGTGACATTTTATATATCAACCCGTATTTTCATATGAACAATACTTAGATTAGTGAATAAAGAAATTTTTGAAGAATAATTTAGAGATACTCTCGTTTTGAGGCTCTCGACTAGATTTTTTCAAAATCTTAAGTTGAAAATTTAGCTTTTCGATATATTTAGCAAATTCACGAATTTTGCACCCAGTATTTTCAAGGATTTAATCATAAATAAACTTTCTAAAGATATTTCGGAGTAGAAAAATGCGTTAAAATCAAATTTTAAGCACATCTGTTCTGGGAGTGAAAGCAACTTGCATCTTCGAAAAAAGTTAAATTTCGTCAATAATTCGTCGTTTAAATAAATTATAGTTTACAATTGTCCGATTTCAGTTTAAAGTCTTTTATCCAGGATATTTTTCAACAGCCTTGCAAGAAAGGAACTTAAATTCTTGCACATCCACTCTTCCCAAACGAGAAGCCCAAAAACTTGTTTTTCCTCGTTTAATAATTTAAATAAAATTTTCGCTAGCGCCCGCAATTTGCTGACCAGCGACACCAAATTTCCCACCTGATATAACCTGAAGTTCAGGCCCTAATTTGAAATAGGGCCTGACACAAAACCTGTCTAGACCGTGGGACGCCCACATGTTATTTTTAGACACACATGCAATATGGTTGACAAGTGTTGTAGATTTCGTTACACAAAAAAATTATATTCTCATGAACATGTCCGCAGAGCATTTTGCTTTTTAATTAAACTTAAAAATTCAAGGTACTTTTATATAATTAAGAGTCAGTTTCTCTA